TTTTTTTATCAACTTCTTTTGTTATTAATCTATTATTTAAATTTCATTTATTTGTCGGATTTGCAGTTCAATCATGATATTTTTATGCGATATTTTTCGATCAAATATATATCGCAAATATTTTTAAAAAATAATGTTTTCGAATCAAATATAACGTTTTAAAATCAAATTTTTAGACGAGCTTCTTTTTTTTAATCTTCTATTATTTCATTTTACTTGTCGCATTGCAATTCGATTATTATTATAATATCTTTGAAAAGTAACTTCATCCCCGAAAATATAATATTTTACGAAAGATCAAAATTTTAGACGGCTCCTTTTCTATTATTATTAATCATTTATTATTCAAACTTCGTTTTTTTTTTTACCGGTTCATCGTTCAATCGTAATTATTTATCAAGATATTTTCCGATCATTCGATTCACGAATATTTCCAAGAGATAGTCCTCTCGTCAAAACATTTTATTTTTGATCGAATTTCTTTTAATTAAATTCTTGGAAATAGTCGATGGATCTGATTCCGGTCAACAATTAAATTCGCGCTGTTTACCATCTCGAGGTTCTTACACGTATATATATATATATATACATATTCAACCTGTAGCTTGTAGAACCCAAACAAATAATTAAAGTTGGCGAGAAAAACCGTGGTAAAAAAGTTTCTCGCCGATCTAGTTGCCCGCGGGGGTTGCGAATCTCAATTAAAAGAGATTTCATTGGGACGTCTTTGGGGCAAGAACGATCGAAGAAAAGCAATTAAAGAGTAAACGCATCGAAGGAATCTGTGGAAGGAGGGGATTCTAATTAAAGAATTTCAAATTAAAACATCTTTGGCAATGGACGCTTGCCCGATCTTCCTTTCGATATCGAATCCTTCCGATCTTCGAGATTCGGATCCTTTCCTTTTTCTTCTTCTTCTTCTTTTTTTCCTTTTCGAAAAAGGGCAACGTATATATCGTAAAAGATCGCTTCCAAAGTTTTCTTCAGAAAGGGGGACGGATGTTTCGCGTTGATTAAAGGATGGCGGATTAAAACTAACGAGAGGCATAATAATAAGAAAGTTGCTCTCGCCGAGGAATTTTTTCGCGGGCGTTGTACGACGATTTGCGTTCGTGGCCGAGGTTTTACGATGTCCTCCGAGTTATTCTTCCCTTGACTGAGTCACCCGAGTTTATTGCGGATCTTTTATCGCTGGGCCAGGAAACTGTGCTACTTCTCTTCTTCCTCTTCCTCCTCCTCCTCCTCCTCCTCCTCCTCCTTTTCTTATTCTTCTTCTTTCCGTTGCGTGAGGATAAATCAAGAAAGTTTGATTTAACGTTTGTTTGATTTAAATGTTTCTCTGAAACCAGGAGAAATTTTTAAAGTTATTATATCCATCGTATTCCTCGATAGAAAAATAAATAACGGATTGGAGCGATAGAAGAAAGATTTTTAGAGAGATGGAGAAGAATAAAATTTTCCGATGGAAGTTTTACGCGCAGTATGCTACATTTATCGTTATATGTTATTTTTTTAGCTCTCGAAGAAGGAAAAGTCGGTAGATTTTCGTTGCGTCTCCGGGATATTTCGCAAACGGCAAACAACGGTTGAAACAATTGAAAAGAAAGTGGAGTACACGAAGGATAGATAGATAGAGACGTGCGATCCTTAAACCGGCGAGAAAAGTCGTCTTGTCGTCGACACGTGAGCCGCATAGAGAAATTCATACGTCAACTTAGTCGGTACATCCGGTTGTGTAAGCGCTTCTTAAAAGTTCTGAAGTCTGTGCCTAAAGGTGGTGCGGGTGAAGTGGGCGCGCGCAAGAGAACAAGAGTCGGCCTTCCTCCCTCTCCTTCCTCCGTCTCCGGCGTCCTCCTCCCTCCCATCTTCTTTTCTCGGTCGGTTCCTTTTCCGCCGCTTCGTCGAGATCCTCGACCCCTGACTCGACACGCGAAACGACTCACGTATGCGCGCGAGAGAGCGTGCTCTCGGGAAAAAGAGAAAAAGGAAGAAGGGAAGAAGGAAAATAGAAGAAGAAGAAAAGGGGGAGGGGGAGGGGGAGAAAGAAAAAAATGCGGCCAGAGTAGACACGAGCTCCTCCTCGTCGAGAAGCTCGAGGTCTTTGCGCGCTGCGTTTCAAAGCAGTTTTGTCTTTTGATTGGCGGCGTGAAAGGACGCAAAGCAACTCCTCCCCTCCGCGCCTTCGTAATTATCGACGAGCGGTTTTATTCGAGAGCTCTCTTTGCCGGGTGCCGGAATTAAAGACGTCAATGCCCGCCACTTAGCGTCGTTCCAGGGAAAAAGCGCGGACAGCCTTTCACTCGGGTGTAAATTTAATGAAACGGAGCTTCCATTTGTCGCGAGCGCCACTCTGAAATTGCATAAAGGGCCCGAGTGATTTTTCTTCCGACACACTGGTAAAGTAACTCGCAACGATTCGTGCCGATTGAAAGGTAGTTAATGGAAAAACTCCGGATCGATCTCGTTAACGATCCCTCCCTTCCTCTCTCTCTCTCTCTCTCTCCCCTCTCCTCCCTTCCTTGTGTCCAGGCTTGAATTATTCTCGACGTGCAACGGTCG